CCGATAAATCTAGGACTTATGAAAACTTCAGTCTGTTTATGATAATCATGGAATCTCATTGTTGTATTCCATATATTTAAAAAATCCATAATCCACGATTCTCCATAGAATTTCTCGAACATTTTAAGTCCCTCTCTTGTTCAGTTATTAAGTTAGGTCTTTTTTTCTGGAATGGAACGAAATACCTGTCCACTGTCTTCTGATTTTCATTGGTACATCGATTGGGTTTAGTCGGTGACGAATAAACAATTAAAAAACTAAACCAATTTACATAACCTTCGTTCCGATTATCCGAAAACAATTTTAGTTAATTTATTTCTAACTAAATAAAATTAAAATGAAATAAGAATACGGCCCATGTCTGAAGTTTTTCCAGACATAACTAATTGCTAAACAAAATGTTAAACAATCATTATTTTCAGTAATGTCGGTAAGTGGCTAGCAGTGAAACACAGTACGTCGGCTACGTTCTTCTTCGAACTTATTAGCTGATCGTACTTGAATCCCAGTATCGAAATTTACACTCAGACTTCAAATGAGGGCTTGTTACACCTAACACAAACGAATTATTGACCGAGCTATTTCATTCAGATAGCTTGTGAATAAATATAAATGAAAACTCATTTATTTAATGATCCACATATAAGAACAATGACTGATCAAATGCAGCTATCTGAACTCAGTGGACAATGGACAGTGATTTGGAGTTAAAGGAACTTGGTTCGAGTCCTAGTGTGTGTACTAGCACCAAGTTGTACGAACTCAGCTGAAGGGTCACAAATATGACGAAAGGTGTATATTGGATTTCTGCGCTAGTCACTGTCTAATTTTCTTAAAAATTTATGACTAAGCGACTGTATAGAAACGAATCTCTAAACATGCATATATATACTGAAAGATGTCAATCAATTCAACGTTTAAAAACTTAAAACGAAAAAAATACAGACTTTTACGAATAGTATTTGTTATATTAAAAAGAACCATTCTGAGTATGAGAATTTCCCTAGACTAATATTTTAACTACCATTGAATAAAAGTGGTTAGATTAACAATGAACAACCAAAAGATTTTATAAGAGATAATATAAACAATACAATTGAGAATTCAACTTCCTTCAATGAGTCATAATACGGGCAAAACAATCTATCAATTTATTTAGAAACTAGATTTATTTCTACCAATTACAGAGGCATTTCCTGAAATTCTCTGTCTAATAAGATCAATCATACAGTGTTTGCTTTCAATTGTATTTATCACTATATATATATATACAAATATCAGTACTGTAAACATTAATTTTAATTCCGTTCTAATTCTCGGACAATTTTGCTGTTAGTTGTTATTATAGAAAATCCATTAGTTGAATTGAATATCTTACTTTTGAAATAAACTAAGTTTATACAGTTTAAAAGATCATTCCTTTTGGGTATAGACGTTGTCAAATTGTTAAAGGTGCATTTTCTCTTTTATCAATTTATCATAAGGATGTTTTTAATACTTTATTGTATATAATCGGAATACGAGGAAGATGATGGTGTCTATTACAGACAAATAAATATTCTCTTGAGTGAATTACATTAGTTTGCAAATGATACTCTTGTAAGATAACTAGTTATGAATGGTGTACAATATTTAGCTTTTATTTGCAAATCTTATGAAAGATTTCAAAATAGTTTAATTTAGATGCATGTGACTTCAATGCTAGATTGTATGTCCTACTTATGCAAGTAATGAAAATTATAAGTTAGAAACAAACAAACCTCAAATGAAGAGGTACGATTTGTCATTGATGATGCAAGTAAGATTAATTACTGTGTGATTATACCAAGTCAAAATGACCAAAGTTTAAAATAAAATATCATTGGTCCGTTTATTTATGAACCATAATTAACAAGTCATCTTTAGCCCAGTACACATACCTTCAAACGCCAAGTCCACATAGCCACATTTCGGACCCTAGGGAGTTGTTCTTTTAGGGTGTTCAAATGCCAACAGTTAATAATAACTGTGAAGGATTAGGATATTCAAGTTGTTATGGATTGTTTCATAGTCTTGAAATAACAGCTTGAGAGATATTAAACGTTGTTTATTATATAAGAAGAACTAACTGCAATTTAAAATATAGAATACTAAATTTCAAACGATAGATATTTCACTCATGATATCTAAAGTTCCTGGGTTTTAGTTCAAATGGATTGGTTCGTATACACTAATCGGTATGAAATTATTCATTATCATAAAATGTTTTTAGCAATTCTCAAATCCCAGTTACAAGTAACCTCGTTTGTCAACAGTTTTATCGATATTATTGGAAACAGTATTATCGATCAACCTATAACAAGTATAATCTATAAATTCTATTAACCAAAATACTGTTGATCTGCTGATATACACTTTAAACATACATTGCATAAATGTTGATAAATTCGTAAAATAAATAGTTAATTCTAAACCAATGGTGATGAACTTCGAAGATAAATTGAATTGTGATTAACTTCGGAAATTGCATTCAAATCAATAATTATGAAACGAAAAACATTTTTAATAAAGATAACCATTTGATCAATGTTACGTGACTGTTAAAAACCTGGGAGCACTGTGTGACCGTTTCGTCCTAGTATGGGACTCCACAGAAGTGCGAAACCACGATTCCAAACACGGGATTCAACACAGGATATTCGGTCTCACCCAAATAATTAACCTCTAGATCAATGGTATTAATGTCTAACTTCAAACATTCCATGACATTGCGCGACCATCTTTTGTGTCTTCGGTGGGTAACTGCTTCACATTCGACACGGCTGAACTCTACCGGTCATGGCATAAAAGTGTATTTAAAATACATTCAATGTAACTCAGTGGAGAAGCCTAAGTTTATGTTTTTGGCTCATGTTGATATCTTTCATGTTAGACCAACTATATCAATGAACTATCTTACTCGAAGTGAGTAGAATGACGTTCAAACTAATGCTATAATATATGAACGTTTTTAATCTACAAAACTGATCGGAAACTTTGTTTATCTGTTTGTTTGTTAGTTGCAGTGATCAACACATTTGTACAATATTTCGAGAGACTCAAGTCTTGTTTTATTTTCATTCCAAACATTCTTGAAAAGTGTGTATACTCATTAATTACAGAATGATAAACATGTTATTGAGATCGCGAATAATTCAAAGAAAGCGAAATACAATGAACCTGAATGAACCAATGTTTTATTTCTAGAAAAAAGCGGCTTTAATTTAAATAATATTTATACATAAATTGTCTAAATTGCACAAGAATCAAAGGTTTCGAAAACAATTATTCATAGAATAGATGGATTATGTAATCCAGGTCCCATCTTTTGCTTTGGTTGTGACTTGTCGTTTGGACATACCTGCATTTTGTCACTTAAATTCAGTGCTTTTCAGTTCGAAAGTGACATTTTCCACTGAGCTATTAATTTGAGGTAGCTATTGACTTGTTTTATTCTAAATATCAGCAACAGGATTATCTGAACCATGTTTAATAACGATAAAAGAATTATCTTATCTAGAATGATAGTAAAGGCTTCAAAATTGAACCGTCCTATTTAGTGAATTCAAAAGTACCAAATAATCCGACATTAGCCATAAATCATTTCTACTCAGCTAACTGCCAGTAAATAATGTTTACTGGAATACAATATTATTTCTGGTTAATTTCAAACGTCTGATTTTCCAGTTTAGTTTCCATTCATACCATTTAAATATCATCTAGGCACCTAAGGAATTTTCAAACATTGGAAATAATAAATCAACCGAATGATAACTGTAATCAATTTTTTTAAAAATAAATTTGGTGTGATACATTTTGTTATATCCCGACGACAATTATCAATGGTAACTTTTGAGAAGTATTTATGGACAAATATTATACTTATATTCTTAATGTATAACTATTCAGTAGCTAGATTATGTATAACTATACTCCCTTTATTTCAAGTTTTATTTTGACCCATAGACTATTATTATACGATTTACCGTTCTTGTGTGGTGCCTAGTCTACTAATTGCGGTTTCCCACATTCACAGCCACTTTTGTCTAAGCCTTATATAAATCATATTTTCTATTTTATGGCACGATGTGGTCTATTTGATTTGTATATAACCCCAGTATGTTAGAAATACATGATTCATATCACGAAGGCTGTGATTGGTGTTCTGGACTCAAGAGGCAGGGCTAGGCAGGAAGACGGACCGATAAGGACTGTAAACTACTCGTACAGGTTTTATGCGTCATCGGTCCGGTCAATAAATCACTATTCTCTATTTCGCGGTATCATTACGTTATATATTGATAGGGGCATAAGGTCACAAGTTATAACACAGTAATAAAGTGGATATCTATCTATGAAGTGTATTCATGTAAAATTTTAATCCGTACCAAAATATGTAAAACGCTCTTCTAAATACAGAAACGTAAACATTGAAGTAATTTATGACTATTATTCATCACCAATAACATTTAATCATTGTCACGTTTATTAATTTTTATCACTTGAAATAGCATATATGAAATCGGTCATTGTATGTCTGTTGGGTTATTGGCAGGAGTTATTTTTTAAATTACCGACTTTCAAGGTGTTTTGTTTTAGTATAACAACCTGAATTCTGTACCAGAAGATGATTTACTAGGATATCCCTAAAACTAATGAGTACTCATGAGTTCTGTATATGTATATTTATATGTATTTCGTTTATTTTCTTAATCGTTCAAGTTTCATTTAATACAAATAATATTAAGAACCTCTATATTTGGCTTCCATTGCATTTTCATCAAATCTTCAAACTGTTATCATTGTCTTGAACATGTTTAGAAAAATAATAATACTTTCACAAGTAAACAACTCAGCTCATAGAGAATGCAACTTCACCTGAATCAGTTACATAACAGTAGTATATTTTTAAAACCAGCTTGTTAAGTCATTTCTTAGAAACCTTCAAATGATTTGAATTAGAATTTTCCATACATATATTTAATTAATTATTTATTATTCTGTTTAATTCACTGAAAACAAACAAGGTGAAAGTAATATGTTCTTCAAATCTAAAATCATTAAATTATATTAACATTGATAAAGAGGTAAAGGAAAGGAAAGGAGACCCTTTTTAAAATGATTAATAATTAAATAATAATCAATTAAATGATGAAAATAAAAGTAAGAAATCAATTAATTAATTAATTAATTAGTTAATTAATTAATTAAGCAGAATAAAATGAGAATCTTGCTTAGTTAAATTTTTACAGTATAATGAGAAGAAGCATTACAACATCAATTCAATGATGAATAAACTGTGTATAGTAGTAATTTGATAGTTTAAAGGAACAGAAAACAATAATTTGATATAATGGTTCTCTTTATTATTTTTTTTCTTTTTTTGGTAAATATTCTGTGGAAATAATCAAGCAATGTATAGTATAGTCTCATATGATTGTGAATATCGACTAGATAGATTGGATAGATTGAAATATTCCTGATTCTTTTGTAAATGAAAGAGAGAGAGAAAAAAAGTTTTTTTCTTCTGTATATGGTTGTAAATAAAATGACTAAATGAGTAAATTGCATGTGTATTCAATGAATCTGGCTACATTGGATTGTTTTGTTGTTCGTCTTTTTTTAAACTCGAAATGAACATCTTACTAAACGTGAACCGATTGGACAAATTGGACGAAAATTATCGGTTTGACCACAGGTTACACAATTAGCATGCATTTGTCGTAATGTTTCAAGCTGATTTTAGAATAACAAAGAAACAGAATATTATATATGTATGTTTGATTAAGGCTAGCAACATAAATGAGGCAAATAATTTGAATTATTTAAAGCCATTAGCCCTTTTGATAAATTTCGATCATGTAATAAGAAGACGAAGATGATCAGAATTATGTGATGATATATTAGCGCAATATATTTCGAACAATCTGATCACACATTACATACTTGTTACGAACATTTATATATAAAAATAAATGGTCAACTAGATTGGAAATGAGGCAAGAGGAGACAAGTATAATAATAAGAGTAATAATAATAATGTGAACACAATTCAAAACCTAATCACTCTGGATAATAAGTCAATATTACCAGGGTAGATTTAAGTTGAGAAAAAAATGTTTTTGAATGCACAAAGGGGGTATGGCTAAGGTTTCAATAAACCTTAGTATACGCCCTTTTATACTTTTATATAACACCACAAAAACCGAGTTAAGATCAAATCTTATGGCCTGTTTCGATTATATATTTAGCAACAGAGGATGAAAGTTTATCCTATACTCTTACTGAGTCACTTGATTCTATTTGATTCTGCAACCATTACTCTTATTATTATCATTGTCCCCTCCTACCCCATTTCCAGTCTAGTTGACCATTTATTTTTATATATAAATGTTCGTAATAAGTATGTAATGTGTGATCAGATTGTTTGAAATATATTGCGCTAATATATCATCACATAGTTCTGATAATCTTCGTCTTCTTATTACATTATCGAAATTTCAATTATCCCATTGTTAATAATCCTGACTGAAATTTAATGAGTTTTTGTTAACATATAGATACCCTATATAAAATAGCCATTATATTTTACACAGTTTTATAGAACACAAGGATTCCTGTGTTAGTAGTTTCAGCCGGATTCAAACTCCTCATCTAGATGTTTCTATATCTCAGTGGCTATTTAGACTTAGTTTTCCTGACCAACAAATTCTCTCACTCTCTCTCTGTGTGTGTCTCTTTCTCATTTATTATTGAATAAAATTGAATACATCACATTAAAAATTCAATCTTTCATTTATAATAGAAATGGATTAAAACAAAACAAAACAATTCGACTGATTCAAATATTTCGATTCTATCAGAACTATGTCAGTAAACAATGAAACAAAAGAAACTGAATAAGATAGAGAACAAACAAAATTGCGATGATTTTCTCTCTCTCTCGTTTTTTTCGCTTTTTCAGTTTATTTCGTTTGTTTGTTTTTTGAAAAAAAATATAAAAAAAAGGTTTTTAAAAACAAAATTTAAGATATTCATGTATAGAAAATAATAAATGGACTAGTTAAAAGAAAATATTCCCTAATTAATTTTACGGGATTGTACATAACTTAATGCGATCTAATCAAATATGAATAAATACAGATTTGAAAAAAGTAGGTTTATTAGTCTCCAGAGGATTATTATTATTATTTTTCTTCTCTTACTTGCTTATATTTCACTCTCTTTTTTTATCTGTAGTTTAGAGAAATGGATCAAAAATTATTTAAAGGAGAAAAAAGAAAACATCCCAAATTATATTGCCTCCAGTGATAATCTATATATTTGAAATTCAAGTAGTGAACTGAAGTTAGACTATGAAATTTAATTTGGTCATTTGAAATGATCTTACTTATTTTATAAGGTGGAGTTGGATTCTATTCAGAATTAATTGTTATATAATGTTTATTAGGGTTTGATGGATTTGTTTTGTGAGGATGTATTTTTGAAATGAATTCCTTTCAAGACAAATGCTGTTGTAGATTCACTGTCACGAAATCGACTTCATCTCCTTATCTATTTTATTACTTTCATAGATCTATTTACTTGATATTTCGATCTGTAATGGATCAGATTTTTTTGACAAATGTACATAGTGAAAGGAATGTCTCAATATTACGATTGAGTCACAAGTTTTTAGTACAGATTTGTGATGTTTGGTAATGGAATGGGAAACTATAAAGCCTTACAAATCAAATTCATACTCACTTTATAAGGTGGTTTTGAGGTAAATCTAGTTGACAAGTCAAAAATAGGACTAAAAACTTTTCCTGTATTCCATCCATACGAAACAGGTGTTCAGTGCTTCCAGGTTTTCATTGATTGATTCAGTTTCAAAAAATTTAACATAAATGACACAAGGTAGAACAATAGAAAATTTTATTTTTTGACTCAAGTGTATAAACTTACTTGATCAATAGTCATCACTACTGGCTCATCTAGAACGATCCATGTGACACATTCATTACATGGTGGGGTAGTTAATGATCCGGAATATGTGTAGTATCTGGATAAATCGTCTGTATGATATAAAAATTTCACGGGTGTAAGGAAAAACGATCATTTAACATGCAACTTAAGAATTAATCATTTATAAAACAAATCACCTAAAGTTATGCACATTATTTTTAAAGTTCAGTTGGAGTATGCATGATTTGAGTCAGCCTCCAAATGCCCTGGTATTGTCGAGGGTGGGGATAGTCAGCCTCCCCTCTCGAAATTCTCTCACATGGCCACGCGTATATATATGTAGTGTCGGCCCATATACCTTATTCTAGCTTTCGGATAGCCCATTCTATTCCTTCTAGTTGAGTCACATTTCGACCTTGTTATTTATTCGCTTATCAATCTTGACTGTTTTTATATGAGCGTGGAGGTGTGTGTACAATTCTTATCCCACCACTCATCACATGTTGGTAACTTACTTTTGTGTAACTATAAGTATTGATTAACGCTTGTTTAAATGGGAGTTGGTTACCAGCCATCTCCACTCTGCGTTGTTTCTCTTCTCTGTATTCCATTCGCTTTATATACAAAGATATATGTATTCACAAGTTCATTCTCGTTATTCGACTTATTTAATTCCGTTATTGACTAACGCGATTTAAGTCGATGATTATATACGAGGATAGGCGATAACAAACATTCATACGATCTAATTGGAGTCAGATCCACGGGTCACTAAATATCCACTGCCAGGGAAGTCCTAATCACTGCCTTCTCGAGACGAGGAGGTTGTTTGCGAAACTGAGAGGACGAAAAGCGAATGTCCGGCACTTTAACCGAGTTAGTGGATATGGAGGATCCACCTGAGGGAGTTGGTAGACCTTTATTCCAAGACAAAGATGCACATGGGCTCCAGGATCCTGAGGGAATGACTGACGTATCAACATATTGTTGGTCACCGGCTACCATGGGACTGCATCTCCTAACGTTGCTCTACTGCATTGTGGATTAGACTCCAAGATCAAAGGCACGACGTGTAGTTTCCTAAGAAAATTACGTGCTTCCGTTTGGGCACGCGGTCAGTATTCTAACCCTTACACAAATCAAATGATTTGTGGGACGCAAATATATTTGCTGCCTTCATGTACCAATGTTTATGTGTGTAAATAAAATAAATAAACGAACCAAGAAACTTTGGGTCTCATTACAGACGCTTAACATTTAAACCACTAAGTCCCCATTCAATCACATCTACGCTTAACTCCAATCAATTCACATTATTGCGCAGTCAACTTTCATTGATAAGAATGAGTAAATGCTTCACTCCCTAAATAGTTGAATTCCATGGTTATTAACTAGAACTCCCAGAACAAGTACGCCGAATAAGCTGCTAGTGTGCAAACGATTACGATAAACATAAAGAAATGATGGAAATTGTAAAATTGTATAGTTGTCTATGTACTGAAATCTCGCCACGAAACCTGAAGTCCGTGGATCCTTACCTCAAAGTTCGTGGATGGGTACTGTTCTGAAGCCCTGTACTAGAACAAAACAGCTTTTTCAGTACTCATTGATTTGCAGTTTATCTAGTTAAGATCGAATTTTAATCTGAACCATAAAAGACGAGATAGCAATGAGTATTTAGTTTACCATTCCTACTGATTTTATTACATTCAACCTAAACATACCAAACCCCTCATAATATATATTAGTATTTATACATTGGTTTTCATTGTATCACTATCTTATACCTTAATTTTGCTTGATAAAATGACTTGATACTGTTTAATAAACTAATTATTATTGGTAATTCACTTTTGTATTGGTTATCTGAATATTCTCATTGATTTTTAGGACTGTAATTGATAAGTCTGTAATCTGCATCCTGCGGGGATTGCCTCGATAATTCCATGAGTTTCAATCATTATAAGCAACGATGGATGATAACTATCAGTGGAATTTAGGACAGGTGTTTCTTCCATTGTTTTGAACATTAATTCTGGAATGTAGGTACATTCAACTAATGAGTTCCAAATAGGTCGAAACGCGCGTCCTAGATTTCACTGCTAACCACCATCCACCTTGACTTATTATTATTGATGTTTTTCAAATGATTCAGAAAATGTATTCAATAAAATATCATGTTGTTTATGAATAAATTAGAATCTAACATAAATTAAGGAAGCGAAATCTTTAATTAAATTTTATTTTAATATTAAAACAATCATTAAAAAATAGTTGTAAGTCTTAAAAATAATTTAAACTCTGATAAATTTTTAGTTATCAGTATAGGGTTATGGATATTATTGAGTTTTGATCGAGAACATGAATAGATCAATGTTAGACTACCATTGAAAACATGGAAGCACTGGACGGTCGTTTCCTCCTAGTCTCAGATCATGGATGCATACTGCTGAGGAGTTTCATACTAGGACGAAACAAACATCCAGTGTTTCCAGGTTCTTAATGGCTGTCTAACATTGATCGGTTTATGTTATCAGTCAAAATGTTTAGTTATTATGTTCAAAATGTCATAAGTTGATTAATCAGATAATGTATCCCTAATAAATGGATAGTTATATTACATTGACTGTGTCAGAGAACAAACCAGATTCTAGTGGAGGAAGAAATCAGGAAGAAGCGATGGAAGTGGATAGGGAACACATTGAAGAAAGCACACAACTGCGTCGCAAGGCAAGCCCTCACCTAGAATCCCCATGGCCAAAGGAGAAGAGGAAGACCAAAGAACACATTACGCCGAGAAATGGAGACACGTATGAGAAAATAAACAACAATTGGATAGAACTAGAAGAGAAGACCTAGGACAGAGTGGATTGGAGAATGCTGGTCAGCGGCATATGCTCCATTAGGAGTAACAGGCGTAAGTAAGTAAGTAACTAAGTATATTACATTGAAGAGTTTTAATTTAACCTTAAAAACCATACTACAATTAATGTTGTGTTAATATTACATGATAAGATATTATTAATACTAGAATAATATCACTAAATATCTTCATAATAAAAGAAAGATATTAAAATAAAAATCCAAAACAAGAATAATAATAATAAGAGACTTGTAACCAATGAAACTTATTGTTTTATTAAAAAAAGAGGAACTTTTCTTCATGATAATACGGTTTGTTAAAGCCAAATAGTTAATTGTATTTATAATGATTAAAAAAACAATATTAGTCTCAGAAGGGGTTTTGTGGATATTAATTTTAATTGTTAAGGTCATGAGTCAATTAAAGCTAGACCACCATGGGAAACCTAGAACCAGTGGACGGCCGTTTCGTCCCACTGTGGGACTTCTCAGCAGTGAGCATCCACGATACCGCCTCGCCAGATCGAGCGCTTAAACTCTAGACCCCTGAGCCGGCATCCAGGGGTGTTAATGTCTAACTTCAACTAATCAACAATGGTGGATGTGTCGCTCAATATTGTGGATTAATATATAAATCTGTTTAAAATTAAAAGCGAGTGTATCACCAACTGTTTCAAGTTTTTTAACTTTTACAAGAATCCTCATGAAGATATTGCTTTGAACGGATTTTTAAAAGGTTAATTTAGCACAGTCAACGAATTCATAGAGGAATATTTCATTTCACTTGAATTAGTTTTTAAAATAATCTACGCAGATAACCTAATTGTTGTGTATTGTAGGAGTTTGAACAAATAAGGCGTTCGTGCCTAAAATCTCTGTGCGTGTGTGTGTGTAGATGTATCACATGTAGACACTCATTCTTTCATGATCTTAACATTTATTCTAGTTTGTTTTTTTCTATTTTTCCCATCAACAATGCCCTCAAGCAATTTTTCATGGATGTTAATTAATTGTGATTTATCATTATTTCTATTTTTCATTTCTTTCTCCAATCCGTTTTATGGACAATTAAGTTATTTTCATCTTAATATTCAAACATTATACAGTGTATAAAAACAATAACAATGAAATTAATAATAATCAAATGACAGTTTGTCAAGGATTATAAATTCATATGTGTTTTTAAGAGAAATAATGAATAATTACCAACATAATGTACATAAATTGTGTACTCCTTTCACTAATAATACAGTTGTACAGCTTCGGTAAATGATTTTGTAGAAGAGAAGTTTTTCCAGTGAATTGTCTTCAATTCTTTGTAATTAAGCGATCATATAAATTAAGTGGGGATAACCTCCACTGTCATTCGCAATTTCGACCCTTCACTTGACAACCACCCAAAATAAAACGGGAATTATTGATTGCACTATAATAATCCATGATGGAGGGCGTATTTCGTTCTCTGTCGTTTCTACTCGCCTACATGAAAAATGTTGAATTTTCTTCGACTAAATTACCACTTCATGATGCTATGGATGCATTAAGTGTAGCAGAGTCAGCCATGATAGAAGAAAAATTACAACATAGCAAAAATCATACCTCAAATTAATTCTATAATAAAAATCATCTTAAAATATCCACAATTTAGTGACTAAATAAACGAAAACATACCCATTATTACTGATATTATTAACTTAGATAACTTGACAACGTGGAGTTTATCCCCAGCCTATAAATTGTTTTGTTTCAAATTAAGGTTTTATTGACTAAATCTTTATTTCATTACTTAATTGAGAGAAGAACAAAACTGATTTACACTTAAAATAAGTTGATAGCTCAAAATCGAGGAGATAAAATTTAAAAGTAATTATTTTCAATGACAGGGATGATACAGGTGTCGTTTGAGGCTACGGGACAATATCTTTCATAGTACATGTAGAACTTTGAAAAAAAGCAATGAAGATTAGTAATACAAGTAACTGGAACTTTTAATTCACCATTGTTTCCAAGGTTGTTGAAATGTTTAGCTCTAACGTTGATAAATATATTAACATTTGTTACATAAAAAAATTGATAAAGATAGCTAAAATGCACACGAATTCAACAAAGTTTGTATTTCTATCGTATTTACAACTGCTTTTTGTCAAAAAGGATTGAACTTTAAGATTGGAAGCCTGGAAAGCATTACATCGGCAGTCTGTTAAAGTTAGATATGTAGTTTGTTGGATTTCGGCTAAATGACCTAGAAGTTAAATATTTGCGCACGAAATAGAAGGTTCTGAGTTTGGTCTCAATAGTGGAGTTCCATACTAGAAAAAAACAAATATCCAGTGCTTCTGTATATTCAGTGACGATCTAGCTACGATCACTTTCGAGTTTAAACCAAGAAACGTCCACGACATAATGAATATTATTTCATGTTTACAAGTAGTAGTAACCTAAATTTAATCCAGAATGTCGAAGGTAAAATATTCGTTCTAAAAACAATTGATAGAATCTTCAATCTTTGATTTAAATCCGAGTATATTGTACTCATGAACGACGAAGTGGATAATCAACACTTACGCACGTGCTAATTTTTCAGGTGATTTTGGGAACAATTATAATGTACGAAAATGAAATGATAATCTGTTTCATTCGTATTGATTGTTTGAATATTCTCGTTGACGATTACGGCTGCTATTGGTCAGTCTCTTTTGGAATATGTGAAGCCTATGCAGTTTGCCTAGATTTTAAAATTAAATAACAATATCGCAGTATCGAGGTAATCCACACAACATACATATATATCAAACTAGAGTGATCAATTGCAGTCGCAAAATGCTAATGGAAGGATTCGAACAACCAAAACAAATGGATTAAATTTCGCTCAATTATACAAGCCAGTATCTAGTTCAAATCTGAAGCGAACGGTATTCACCTCGAGTTGCCGGGTAAACGGTCATTCTAAGATGCAGGTACATCTAGCTGAAGAGTCCTGAAGAGGCTGAAGTGGGAGTCCTAGATTCCACTGCTAGCCGTCAACCGACGGCCGACTCCATTTACAAACCTAGACATAAATGACATTTCGACAACACTAGTTGGTAGAATGTTAGATAATATCTTTTACTTACGTCATCAAGTTTGCTTCTTAATTCACGGATACATTTCTTTCACATCACATTATGTATATATATATATATACGTGAACAATGCATCTAGATTACATTCACTAGAAACTGAAATAATTTGAAGGACTTTCGAAAATCAGGGATTGCCGGATGGGTGTGAACTTCAACTGACGTTCGTTTATAATAAAATTCACCATATGATTATAAAATACTTTCCAGAGTCACTTCAATATAACATAACCATGCACTTGACAACTAGATTTGAGAAGGATATCTGAACGTTCTAGAGGAAAGTCTATATATATACGATTATCATTGAGGACCGTACCAAAACACAATTTTACTGAAATTGAAGGTGCTGATTTTTGGTTTTCAGCTTAATAATCTAATCATACAGTAGAAGTTGGATGACCTTAATTATACTTCATATAAAGTATTAGATAAATGTGTATGACTGAAACGTTTCAAACAATGAGTGAAAAACTATGCAGCGCTTCTTCGGTTTTCGGCAATATCAACTCGTCATATAAAGTGACCAATAAATTACTTGAAGTCTAATGAAAAAGGACCAAGGCACTATACATATATATATCAAAATCTCTCGAACTACCATTTGTTGGAAACCTTTGTAAAACTCAACCTAATCTCTTAAGTCTATTATTCTAAATCTAGTATCAATCATTATTCATTGGCAAGAATATTATATAAAGATGATTGTTATGTGGGAGTTACCAATTGGATTTATCAGAAGGAGATCATTCACATACTTTATTAAATACTTTACTTAATATGAAACATTAAGGAAGGATCTATCAACATGTACTTCTTTTTTTTAAACATACCAACAGTAATACACACATAATGAATGACAACGATGTATAATCATTACAATTAACTAAAAGCAAATACAAAATACCATAATACGTGTATAATTTACACAAATTATCTCAACAATAAGATTATTGGTTACTATGTCGTTCAATAAAATAAAACACATCAAATTTATAGGCTAAGAAATTTATTCCCTCTTACAACCAATTGGTTGATTGATTTTCACCTTTGGTATGTATACTTGAAGGCAGAATATACAACAACAACAACAACAAAATGTGAACAAGTAATTTTGTTTAACAGTCATGAAAAAAATGTATAAAATTAGTTAAATCATTAGTGAACATTTACAGTAAGCAAGTGGTAAAAACCGATTACTAAATAGTTCATAATCAATAATAAAAACAAACGTGGAAAAGTATAAAATTTTAACAAACTAATAAAATAACAACATTATTGTGTAAATTTCATTTAGGTAAAATGATTGTACTCGACTTTGTTAATAAAGAAAAGCTTAGTAAATCTTCTCTAGTCGCCAAGGGAACTCCATGATATTATTTAATTCTAGGCGGCCTGTATGAATATCTGGGCTACCTGTTCCTGTTATCTGGATATTTCAATAAGTTATCTGTTTTCTTGTTTGTTTTAGCACATCATTATGCCCATCAGTCGCATAACCTATTTAGGAGAGTTTACGACAAATTTATAACATTTCGCTGTACAAGTTACAAAAGAGCCCAATCAGAGACACAGTGGTTCCTGGCACTATGTATCGAAATGAATGTATGTTATTCAATTAGTCGATTCTCGAACTGCTAACATCTAATTAGTGATTACTCAATATTTATCGCCAGGATCGATCAAGAAAGAAGAAAAGGAAAATTTTTGAAATACTTTGCGCTGAGAATTCTATATTGTACCAGAAATGTAATACCGAGTAAAATCAGTAATAATAATAATTAAATGGATAAGATAATTACATAAATTAGTTATTTGGATTTTTTTCTTGAACAAACCATAATATACCAGAGAAACTCAATAACTTTACTAGAAAGTGTCATTAACTGATAAGGAACATAAAATGTAGTCTATAAGTTAGAGAGAGTATATATGGCAACTATTTGCATGATTTACATAAATTGTAAAATTGTTTAAATGATGTTATACACCAAATTTGATTATAAACCACTGATATATTTGTACTATTTTTTTAAAAAAAAAGCAAAAGATTACTTATTACAATATGAAAAACTTTTTTTGAAATTTTTGTATGAAAACGGAAATCTTATCAATAATAATGACTTTTTAATCATCGGAGTAATCGGACTGTACAGCTTGGCAACAATCTAAATATCCCCCCCCAAAAAAATCATGATCTCAATAGTTTAGTAATCCGGTGTTTTTTTTAAAAAAAGAATATTTAATAATTCTATTCGTAGTTAAATAACGTTCATGTATTCTAATAAAATTACTGGTCATAACATGAATTAGAAATTAAAAAACTATGTTTATAACATTTGACATTTGGCAAATGTTATTTAGTCAGACCGTGTTTAAATCAATGAACATACATTTCTGTTTCTATCGTACAGTATTAGATAATAATAATAATAACAGTGATAAGTATTGTGGTAATAGTAGTACTATACGTTTTGAGATTTTTATATTTTTCGTATTAAATAAACAGAGTTATGTTTAGAAAATCCAGTTTACCCTTTTTTAAAAATTTAATATTCAATCGTTATCACTGGCCTACGTGAATACTCTTGTTTACGTAAATTTGTAACAACATTAACATAGTGAAATGTAGATCAGTCAATTATCGTTAGTGTTTGCTTATAATAATGTAAATAATAAAATGTGTAATTATGATAAAGTGTAAAAATACTTTAATACACAGATATGATTTTATGTTTTTGTAAATAAGCTAATTATTAATTTCAACTGATTCATGCATAAATACATGCTAATTTTAGAGGGTGGATCAATTCACTTATCGTTTGTTACAAGTGATTGTGTTTTATCATTTTTCTATATTTGAATTCACTCATGAATTGAACCTAGACCACCATGGAAAGCCTGGAGGCACTGGATGGTCGTTTCATCCTAGTATAGGACTCTTCAGCAGTGCTCATCCACAATCCCTCCTCACGAGATTCGAACCCAGGATCTATCCGTCTCGTGTGCGAGCGCTTAACTATTAGACCACTGAGCCGGCCGGCACGGAAAGGTGTTAATGTTTAACTTTCACCAATCCACAAAGTCGCGCCACCGGCCATCCAATGCTTCCACTTTTTCTATGGTGGTCTAGTTTTAATTGACTCATGAATTCAACTAATAAATTACTATAATATCCACAAAATCCCTCTCTGATTTTTTCTGTATATATAGTTAAAATGATTATAGATTGATGAGGATGGAAATACAAATTCACTCTTTTCACAAACTTATTTTTAATAGCTACAAATGAAGAAGTACTATCAATTTCGAGATATGCTAGTTAAAGACTAGATCTTATCAAAGAATATTGTCAACATTTATGATATAGCATTAAACAATACAAACTAGACATGTAAATGTTAAGCACTTAGAAAAATTACCGATGACTTGAGTTGAAGAAAAATAAAAATCTTGTAACATAAGACTTTTCTCATAATTTCAACTTATGCAATAGATGTACTTTTTGACTTGACAACCAGAAATATATATTCATAATGGGAGAATTCAAACCCCTACTAAATATTGTATATATATATATATATATATATAGCTGTATATAGTTAAAAATTATTTACTTACTTGGCAAAAGTGTGTTCAAATCAAGCATAGGTTGAATATCTTTGCTTTCGCCTTTCTTTGTTGATTTCAACAATGAGCATAAACGTTTTAAGGCGTTATTATTATTCGATGATTTGCCCAACTATAAAATAAACATTAGTAGGGTCTGTTAATGATATTATCAGTAGTGGTAGTAGTATTATTGTTAATGTAATTTTGGAGCTTATTCAATGAATTCATTCGATGAATGTTACCTGCAAACTGACATTATCCCCACAAACCCCTTGAAGTAAGCAACAATAATCCGCTCACTAGTGGTTTACCTTAAAATATTTAAGAAGTTGTAGCAAGAATAAGTAACAGGTTATGTTCACATACGTCGGGATTTAAATTAAATGTCATTATTAATATCAAATGATCGCCACATTTATATCACAAACTGATTTGAATCGGAAGTATTCTATTGAGCGCCTTGTACTAGGCTTCAAGGATTTGGGTTTGGTCCCTGGTGAGGTCTTGGGTATGCACTACTGATGAGTTTCATGCCAAGAATATGCACTTATCCAGTGATCTTTGATTTTTAACGGTACATCAACGGAGATCAATCTGTGGTGAATACTGCTTTTAAATTTTAAGAAAATCTCAAAACCCCATAAAATATTCATGGTCTATAATCAGTGAATAAAAGGTAACCATTTAGTTATTTAGTGAAAATAACAATAGTGTTGATCGGGAGGTTGATTACTTAACAAACTATAAAAATTATAACTGGAATACTTCATTTACTTTTATTGTATACTGTCTTACATTTTTGATCGAAACAAAAAACCTATTATTCATAACGTTAAGTTATTCGTGTGACTGACTAAAAAAAATGTGTTTACGAGAACATGGAATATATCGTCAATGTGAGAATGTAAAATGCATGTAAATTTCTTCCGTATTAGTTACATCTATAGTACAAAATAGGAACAAATCAATTCAACTTTACGTAATCAAGCTTCTGTTATAAAGTAGGATTCGGTAGGGAAATAAAATTTGTAGTTATTAAAATAAAATTCATGTTTCGTTCTTCCTCTCAATGTTTTATTTAATCTAATTTAACCCACTCTAGTATTACAGACAAAAGTAAGTGTCACTACAACACCATTAACGTATTTCATTTATTTTGAGAAAAGGTTTGTGGAGATTTTAGAAATTTCACAGATTGAAATCATGAGTCAATTGAAGCTAGACCACCATGGAAAACCTGAAGGCACTAGACGGTCGTTTCGTCCTAGTATGAGACTCCTCGGCAGTGCGCATCCACGATCCCGCCTCCCGAGACATTCGAACTCAGGACCTATCAGTCTCGCGCCAGGCACTTAACCAACTAGACCACTGAGCCGGTATCAAATGGTGTTAATGCCATTAATAATAATAATAATAAACCATTTATTTATTAGCTTAACCGATATGAATGATCTGTTATGAATAAAATGTTATTAAAACATCATTATAAATTTACTTGCTTTTTATTAGACATGAAAACCTTTTCACACACTATTGAATGGACAAAGCAAACTATCTGGCATCTTAAACTATTTCTAAATAATGAATTAGGAATTATGATATTATGATTATAACGCTTAGATATTAAAAAAAACTCAATCAAAATATTGATCATACTGAATATTCAGCCTTGTTTCTCTTTACTATTTAAACGAATGTTAATACAACTGAATTATTTATTTATTTATTCTGTAATGATGTGACTTATACAAAGCTGTGAAATTAACAGAATTCAATTTTCTACTCATTAGGATCATTGAGAAAAAGATGAACAGTTTTTTCTTTCTATTATTGTAAATCATCATCAACAATTACAGAAGATGAAGAGAATTTAGCGAAGAAAATTTTCTTTTCGATGAAATCCAGAAGATTTGTTGTTATTATTATCATAGAATTTAGAATAATTTAATAAGCAATGTCGAATGTAGTATACACAATATTTAATCTTAATAGTTGAGATCATGCGTCAATTGAAGCTAGACCAGTATGGAAGATCTGGAAGCAGTGGGAGGCCGTTTCGTCCCACCACAGGACTCCTCGACAGCGCGCATCTA